AATCAAAACACCATGAATGGCTAATACAGACATTCAGATACTCATGCATACGTAACATTCATATCTACGTGTGTACATACAGAAATGCATACATAATACATGCATACATCCATATAGACAAATATCCATACATACATACATACATACATTAATACATACATACATTAATATATGTATACATATATACATACACACTCATATATGCCCACACTTTTAAACTCATACATACACACACATTCATACATACACATGAACTCTCTCTGTGTCTTTCTCTCTCTCTCTCTCTCTCTCTATCCTCTCTCTCTCCTCTCTCTCTCTCCTCTCTCTCCCTCTCTCACTCACACACACAAACGCATGCACACACACACTGACACACACACACACACACACACACACATATATATTTATTTATATGTTCATACATGAACACACACTCATACAGAAACATTATCTCTCTCATATATACACACACACTCATACATACACACAGACGAAGCAGGAGGGATTTGGAGGTTCATTACAGCCAACCATCCATATGAAGATGACACTTGATATATATAATTGGACACAGGGCCTCCAAAAGTTGTATGTATGTGTTTAAAGATCTGTGTTAGCAGCCACAAAAGTTTGGTCATTTCTATAGCTCAGCAAAATATTATTGAAACCCCAGACATACAAACATCCTGTTTTTCTTCAGGTATTCTATAGGGTCACGTGACACATCTGCATGACAGAGCTGCCTGTTCTACAGCACAGACGAAGGATGGAACATGGCAAAGATGTTGTTGCAGGTTCATTACAGCCAACCATCCATATCATGAGAGATGACAATACACTGCGATGGACTAAAATAACTCTCTCATTAATAATGTCACAATTTATAGCCGACTTTTCTTGATTTTCGCCGCGGCACCCCTGTCATACGCACCCAGTTTTAGAACCTCTGCTGTAATGCCTCGGAGTCAGGCGCTGTTACCACGCAAACGGGTCGCCGTTTTTCCCGCTACGAAAGATTTAGGCATCGCTACTGGTGTGTTAAAGAAGGCATGAAGAAACTTGAAAATGTATCTGTGTGTGTGTGTGTGTGTGTGTGTGTGTGAGAGAGAGAGAGAGAGAGAAAGAGAAAGCATGCATTTTTTTGTTCTTTCGGGGTGTCTTTTCCCAAATCAAATTGAAGATAATGCAAACGAGAATATGAAGGTGCATTTAAATTACATTGAACGAACACCTGAACGAAAAATGATTTAAATGCGAATTTGGCACATGGATAAAATCAGATGAAAGATGCATTACTAAAATAAAAAACAAAATAGGACAGGCTAAAAATGCATTTTATATTTTAAAAAAATAACATCTTGTGCAATATATCGTTGTCTTGCTTGCTACATACATCCAGTTTTAACATATGGCTATGAGTCCTGGACAATCGGTAGCCAGGCCAAACAATTTTTTGAGGCCTCAGAGATGTGGTTTTACAGAACAATGCTTAAAATACATTGGACAGCTTAAAAAAAGCAACCACTAGGTTTTGAAAGAGGCGGGAGCCTGAAGACAACTAATCGCAGACATCAGAAGAAGACAGTCATCATATAGAAAGAGTGAAAATGGAACATGTGGTGACCACTGGAAAGATTTGTGGAAGGAGAGATAGAAAAAGACAACGAGAGAAGATTCTTGACAGTCGTTGCATGTCCTGGAGGTGTGTCAGCACACAAACTGATACATGCTGCAGGAGATCGCAGATTGTGGCGAGGCAAAATCGCCACACCTGATGATGATGATACACTATTCGTATTCGGCCGAATAGTTGGTCCCACTATTCATATTCGGCCGAATAGTGAAAACCACTATTCGGTACAGCCCTAATATATATACACATACACACAGAGTGTTAACTTTGTTAACACATGCTTGCTTAAGAAAGTAAAGTATTTATTATATACATACACACACACATACACACACAGAGTAAATCTTGTTAACACATACTTGCTTAAGAAAGTTAAGTAAAGCATTTATTATATACATATATATATATATATATATATATATATATATATATATATATATATATATATATATATATATATATATATATATATATATATATACATACACACACATACAGAGTAAACATTGTTAACACATACTTGCTTAAGAAGAACATCCGGTTAACATGAACAAAATTTTATTCACACCCACACAGGGATTTTTATGGCGGTATGCAACATCCCCCTTGTAGGCATAATTTTTGCTATATATATATATATATATATATATATATATATATATATATATATATAGTATTTTTAAGTCTCACCTAATTCAGTACCTAGCAGTTCTTTATGAGTTAGTAATTAGGGTTCCTTTCAAAATATGTTTTTATCTTCTTGTGCTTTTTTCTAGCTGAAATAATACCCATTCTGTCCCAGTTGTTACTTCAACTTCTCTTGCCCTATCATGGTATTATTTGCATCAGTTTTGCCCAGAAAGTTTTAATTTTACTTATTAGATCCTTTAAATAGAAAGAATTGAAGGAAATGCCTGTCTGTGACAGAAAAAGTTTAATGGTATGTAGTTTTAGGGCAGGATTTCTATCTGTGTGTTTTAATTAACTGTTTAAGATATAAGGTTAATTGTTTATGTTGTTTTTACAGCTATGTTTACATTATAAATGATAACAAAAAGGATGTACTAATATAAATAAGAGTACCCTCCCCTTGTTCAGTCATTTAAAAAAGTGTTATATTTCAGGTGGTTATGTAGTTGTAAGTTTTAAATTTGTCAGATTTTTAATAAAAATTAAGAATGGCTGGCTGAGTTGTTAAGAGTTAGGCTCTCATGTGGAAGACCTGGGTTTGATTCTTGATAAAGAATAAAGATTTGTTTCTGTCAAGGCAAAAATACAAATCCTAACCTGCTGTGCAGCCTTTCATTGTCAGGTTTCTAAACCCCAACTTCCCCTCCCCCTCAGAGGACCCTTTTCCCACACCTTTCAGGAGTATTGGGTATATAGGGCTAGACCTATATTTTATAGACCAAATGAAGTTGGTGGGTGATGTGGTCAGCATCACGCCGGTCGCCTTTTACTTCCCAGGAATATACTTGATACCCACTTAAGGCTGGATCGACCTGGGAGCCAAGGTCATTTTTGGAAAATGTCCTGACCTGTCAGGACCCGAGCCCATGACCTTCCGATCCACAGGCGAGAGTCTAGTCACTAGACCACAGCGGCTTCCCTACGCAACATTAAAAGGGGCAAATAAAGCTTTTTTTAAATTGTATTTTCACTTCCTTTCAAATAGTTATGTTCATACTTTCTTCCCTGTCTAGGTTACTAGGCCCCACTGTTGACACACACACAAAATAAAAATAATAGACCCACTGCCCCCCCCCCCTCCCCCTCCCCCAAAGAGCATGTCGTAAAAGCATACTAATTAGGGGTGTTTCCCTCAAAGTCGGACTGCATCTACCTGAAAGGTGAGAAACCAGCAGTCTGCATTCAGAAACGCCAGATCTGTAAATTGGATGTGCACGCAAAGCTCAAGTTATGGAACAAGACTAGAAGTAGATAAAAACCAGAACTTTCTGCAGCAGTTTACAGCCGGTGAATGTGAAGAAGAAAAGAAGAAATTTTCTTCTCCTCTCTCAGTGAGAAAAACAAGAAAAGCAAATTGTTATGGCGCGAAAAGGTGTTTAGCCCAATACACCTGAAGGCATGGAAAAGACATTTCTATCCCAGGATCTCCCCCAAATAGGCGATGAATATTTTTAGGGGTGGTAGATAGGCTGCGTTCAGTCATGGGACTTATGCTGCACTTTCTCATGGGACATAGGTGGGTTGGGGTTAGGCCCAGTCTGTTATGGGGTTTTAAAAGCATCAGAAAGCTAGGAACACTGCTCAACCCACCCCGCCATGCTGAAGGATAACAACTTGCCACCGGAACCACGTCAGCCAAACAGCCCAAAACACAACAGACAAGGAAAGCAGAGTCGAAAATAATCTGATATGTAAACCCATCACAAAGATCTGACAATCAAGATTTTATTTTCAAAGAAACCCAGGAGACCCATAACCGCAGCTCAGAAAGGAGCTGGTTAAACATCGCCAAACTTAAAAATTTTTGTTTATCACAAACTGAACTGAACTGGAAACCCGCTCTTAACCACCCTAAAAAATATTTGACTGTCCTGAGACATCATCCTGGGGGGGGGGGGGGGGGATAGGGGAAGCACCGAAGAGGCTCCTGTACTTTACATTTAGAAAGGAGTCAGCACACATTCATTTTTTTGGAGATGCAAGTTGTAAAGAGGCTTAATTACCAGTGCCAGTTTCAAACATGGAGAGCAACTAAGGCAGTTACCAATAAACTACACACGTTCATTACCTGGTGCCTGCATAGAGTAGAGGAAATTCAATGGTATGATAGAATCACTAATATAAAGCATTATGGGATAACTAAGCAAGCTCCAATGGACCAAGAGGTGGAGAAAAGACGCTGGTGTTGGATAGGACACACATTGAGAAAACTAGAGAACAATATAACTAGAATGTCTTTGCACTGGAACCCACAGGGGCATAGGAATAAAGGAAGGCCAAAAAACACATGGAGAAAGGAGCTGGAGAGTGAAGTTAGAAAGATGGGGAGGACATGGGGATAGCTGCATGCGATAGCAAAAGATAGAACCACTTGGCTTGAACTGGTTGAGGGCCTGTGCTCCATTGGGGGCTAGAAAGGCAGAAGAAGAAGAAAAAGCCAGTTTCAAGACAGCTGCTGATTGTTAGAAATATAAATCCTGGCAAGATGTTGCTACTAGATCTTATCCTTTTCAACAGAAATGTTCATTAATTTCTCTTTTTCTTGTTTCAATTATTGTTTTTTTTCCCGTCATAAAAAATAGTATCTTTTTTGTTGTTGTTCAGCACACATTCTTTGTCCTAATCTGTTTTGTAATTCATCCTTAATTTTCAAACAGAAAGTTATTATCTCCAACACAAGCGAGCTCTATGAAATCTGGCAAGACATTCCTGTGCCAGTGTACATGCAGTTCTACTTCTTCCATGTCCACAATGTGCAGGAAGTCAAGGCAGGCCACAAGCCATCTGTTACTCAACGTGGACCTTACACATACAGGTGCTGTCAAGTGTGTTAGTTTTAGCTACGTATGCATTCTTCTTCTTCCTTCTCCTCTTCCTCTTCTTCCTCCTCCTTCTTCTTCTTCTTTTTCTTCTTCTTTTTCTCCTTCTTCACCCCCCCCCTTTCTTAAAGATAGTGCACCACATAGAGCCTGTCTCTTCATCATCATCATCATGTGCCCTGCCAACTGGCATGGGCGCTCATGCGTCTCCACAGATCACGATCCCTGGTTGCCAGGAACAGCTCTCTTGATGAGATCCCTCCATGCCATAGTTTCTTGGTCTGCCTCTACCCCTTTTTCCACTGATCTTTCTAGTTGTTACGATGTTCTCCAATGTCTCTCTTCTCAAAGAACAGTGTTTGTCCCTTTCCTGTCACTTAGACACAATAAAAGCAGAGCTAAAGGTTACTCACACACATAGATGGAATGTCTGAGGCCATGAAAACCTGCATTTACATAGCACATGTCAATACTGACACCAGAACTTCTTCAAAACCTGATGTTGAATAGCAGAACAGAGATTAGAGACAAGAAGGAGGAGAAGAAGAAGATGTATGTGTAAAGATATATATATATATATATATAGAGAGAGAGAGAGAGAGATGTGAAAGTTTAAATACTTTGGCCATATCAAGCGCCATGGCAGATTGGAAACTAGTATTAGCAGAAGGCATGGAACCCGGAAGGAGGGGTAGGTGCCAACCAACGTGAAGACAGGCACAGGATATAAGTGACTCATTGAATATGGAAGTACACGAGGCTGGAGAGCGGGCGAGAGATGATGATTATGATATATACACACACACACCCACACACACGCACACATGCACATGCACACACCCACAGACACACACAATACCAGCTTAACCATGAGGATTAAACATATTATTTCTGTGAAAACTGCTGCTAGCTATTGTTAAACATGTAATTTTGGCAGAGAATAGGTATAGCAATTATAAAAATATTTTCAGTTTCTTGGTTGTTTTTTTTTCAGAGAGAGGCGTGTGAAATATAATATAGTTTGGAACTCAAATGGCACTGTGACCTACAGACAGAATCGTACATTTTATTTTGTGCCTGAAATGTCTGTAGGAAAGGAGACAGACTTAATTACTACAATAAACCCACTAATGGCTGTAAGTTAGCTTCTTATCTCATAAACTTAACAGTATCTGTGCTGATAGACATTACAGCACCCCTACTTATATTGTGTGTATTCATTTTCTCATGTGGGTTCCAGGACCCCATTTGGGGGGGTGGGGGCATAGACCATGACCAACTGACTTTACTTGTCAGGACATTGCCTCTTCCCTTTTTATGCTTTGTCTGTTAGGGAGCCACAGTATGGCTGTAAGTTAGCTTCTTATCTCATAGACTTAACAGTATCTGTGCTGATAGACATTATAGCACCCCTACTTATATTGTGTGTATTCATTTTCTCATGTGGGTTCCAGGACTCCATTTGGGCGGTGGGGGCAGAGACCATGACCAACTGACTTTACTTGTCAGGACATTGCCTCTTCCCTTTTTATGCTTTGTCTGTCAGGGAGCCACAGGCGGAATATAAAATTCCACTTGATGCTGAATCGAACCCAAGACCTTCATGTGGACAGCGAGGCATTTAAACTTTACGTGTATAAGACAAAAAGTGTTCCCAAATCTTGGGGTCATCTTATATGCAGAAAATACAGTATGTCTGCCTGGGACCTATTTTTCTAGAAAAAAAATAGGCCAATACTCACCACAGAGTGTCTGTTACTATAAAAAGTAGTAAAAAGTAAAGATCCCTTTATATCCAATATCGTCCTTTTTAGGATGAAATTTTTTGTCATTTGAGGCCCTACTCTGGCATTTGCCAGGGGCCGCAATATAGGCAGGCCATACATATGGCCAAATGTTTGAACGCGGTTTCTGGGACCTCTCCACGGCGATCCTCAACCGCATGGTGGCACTTTGTGTGTCATCAGGTGTTTATCGCTTGTGTGATGTCCTGGTGGGGTAGAAAGTCAATCAGTTAGTCAAAGATCCCTTTTCACACCTTTAAGGGCATATGGGAAGAGCACCCATATTTTTACAGACCAATGGGCACTAGGTGGGTATTGTGGTCAGCATTATGCCGGCCGTCTTTACTTCCCCATAACATACATCACGGTACCCATTTAAGGCTGGGTCGACCTTTGACGTCCCATACCATGAAAAAAATCCACGCAGCCAGCAGTGGGTTTCGATCGCGGTACGTTGGAATTACGAGTCAGACTCGCAACGCCTAAGCCATGGACCTCGCGTCTGTTACTAAAGCATTGAAATAAACAGTGATGCAGAAAAAAGGGTACCACGTACTGCCAGACTAAAGCCCTGTGTGTATCATTTTCCCAGTGCGGCTTCTTGGGTCTCATTTTTGGACCCAAAAAAAACCCGCAGACCTCTGCTTTCCAGCAAACATGGCGTAATAGGTGACTAATTAGGGCTGTTTCCTTTGAAGTCAGAGTGCATGTGCCTGAGAGGCAAGGAACAAGCAGTCTACAGCCTGCACACAAATAAGCCAGACATGTAAAATAGAGTTTACGGCGGGTGAATGCTAAGAAGTGTATCATTTCTGTCTGTCACTCTGTCTGTGCCGATGTACGTACATACATGCCTGCATACGTACAAACGTACATACATGCATCATAAATTACACACATACATACATACATACATACATACATACATACATACATACATACATACATACATACATACATACATACATACATACATACATACATACATACATACATATATACATACATACATGCATCATACACACGCACGCACGCACGCGCACACACACACACAAACACAGAGAGAGAGAGAGAGAGATGCATGCAGAATTACAGTGTTCACAAATCAAGGTCACATACAAGAAGGTTATAATTATATGCACCTTTTTCATCCACAGACTCTCGCCCAGGGCTTCCAGTGGTTCCCAAGTTCCATAAAGTCGGTAATCTCCATGGTGCTGGCATTAATGACGGATGAGTCTATGTTTACTACCAGGCCAATCGTTGAACTGCTGTGGGGTTACGAGGATCCAACATTGCTCAAAATAAAAAGTTTTCTACCGTTTTTTATCACCTCATCAAATATTGGTTATTTTATAGGGGTATGTGATTTATTATTAATTTTGTTTTAAATAATTAGCAGTTATTTTCTCTCCGTCACTTTAAATGATATCATATTTATGAAGGTTATATGTGTCCCAAGTAATTAAAACTCCTTATGTCTCAAGGAGAAATTGTTAAAAGACAATATATTCTTGGTCAGAGTTCAACAGAGACAGTATTCGACAGGTCTGGTTAATCTAATGATTCAAATGCAAAAGGTTAACAAAATATGTGTCTGTAAGAGAGTACAATCAGAACATTGGTACTATTCAGCTTTTCCATCCAATCTTATCGAGTGCGATAATTTCATAGGGAATTCCCCAAGACAATCCTATAGTCTGGGGAGAGGTGGGGGATGTTAGAGTTAGTCTTAGTTGCTGTTCATTTAACACTAACACTAAAACTCCTGTATTCTAGGCATGTCATGTGTTGGTTCTTTTAATCTTTATCGTTTATTGCATTGTCATTTCCAGTGTGTGGTACTTTCATTTGTTCCCCGTCCTCACTCTGCTCTGTTTGGAAGTGCTTTTTTTTACTTCGTGACTTGGCCTTCGCCATGAGTTTCCTTGACCTGTGAGTATTCCTGCCTCTAACCCTGACCCTAAACCTAACCCTAACCCTTTAATAGTCATCCACAGAAAAGACAGTTGGTCCAACAGGAAAAACCCTAGAAAACCTGTTCAACATATAACAGTTATTTTGGAACTGCAGCAGTTAGGAAGTAACCTATAGTCCAGGTTGGGTGGGTTGCTGTGCTACAAGTACTTGTTCAACTGCCGGAAAGAGATAAAGGCCAGGTATTAAAATAGTTTTTATTTCTGGATTGCAATATGAAACTAACAGGTAGATAGATTAGCTGGGTCTGCACCACTTGATGGTAAATCGTTGCATAACAATCTAGTAGTTTCAAGGGCCCTTTGAGACCGAGTAAACAGTGAGGAGACCCAGCTATGTCATCACTGTCTGAAGGGCGAGGAGTGATAACAGGATCTGGGAAGTTCAATTATTCAGGGGAGGGGTGAGATGGACATACAGACTTGTTCAAGGGCTGTGATATTGATTCTTAACTCATAACTCATTTGGAATTGTGTGTGATGTTTTTCTAGTGGGTTTTTTTAAGTGAAATTGATTTGAATGTTTTTTTTTTTGTGTTTTTTTTTTCCAGAGAAATTATACTGATGATGGTTTGTACACTGTGTCCACGGGAGAAACAGATTTAGGAGAGCTCGGAAAAGTACAGCTGTTTAATGGGAGAAAGTAAATTATTATCTCATTTCTTTGTGTTGTTGCTTGACTGCTGGCCTGAAGATCTATGGTTAAAATCTGCATTGGAGAAGAGTTTTTGGGTTCAGAATAGATCTTGGCTACTAGGTCAACCCAGAATAAAATGGGTGCCAGGAATTTACCTGAAAAAGTATAAACCACATAGGCCAATAGGTCCAAAAAAAAGGTGGTTGCACTATATTTCTGATACACCAGGGTCATTTACTTACTATATTTTTTCATGTATAAGACCCCTATGTATAAGACATCCACATGTATAAGACAACCCCATGTATGACACCCCCATGTAAAAGACACCCCCAGGTATAAGATCCCCTGTGTATAAGACACCCCGTGTATAAGACCCACCCATGTCTAAGACACCCCCATGTATAAGACACCCCCATGTATAAGACACCCTTATGTATGACATCCCCATGTATATGATACCCTCTTGTATAAGACACCTTCCCATGTATAAGACATCCCTGTGTATAAGACACCTCATGCATAAGACCCCCCATGTATAAGATATCCCCGTGTATAAGACCCCCCCCCCCTCACTATTATAAGACACCCCCATGAAAAATAAGACAACCCCATGTATAAGATACCACCATGTATAAGACCCCCATGTTTAAGACACCCTCATGTATAAGACACCCCTATGAATAAAACACCCCCACGTATAAGATGACCCCTAGCTCAAAAGTAAGAAATAAATTTTTAAAATACATTTCGTGTATAAAACGACCCCAATTTTAAACTTTAAAAATTTGGGAAGAGGAGGTCAAAGAAGATTCCAGAATGACGACATAAAGAAATTGACAGGACAGTTATACACTTATTCATCAAGTGGAAGACAGAGAAATATGGCGGGTTTTGTGTGCTGGTGCTTCCATCGATACACCTCCACGACCCTAACAGGTCAAGGGTTATGTTATATTACAGATCCCGACTCTTAAAGTATTGCAGCGGTTGTTATATCTGTTTCCACTTCATGACATGAATGGTCTCATAATGGATTGTAATTTTTAAAAAGAGATTTAAAGTTCTTTTTCTTCTTCACGTTCACTGGCTGTAAACTCTGGCAAAAAGTTCTTATTTTGTGTGTGTGTCAACTTGTGGATTTCGGTATTGTTCCTGAAGTTGAGTTTTTATGTGCACATCCATTTTAAAAATCTGGCTTATTTCTATGGAGGCTGTTGATTCCTTGCCTCTCAGCAGATGAACTCTGACGTCAAAGAAAACATTGATCCTATTTTCCTATTTACAGTGGCCAGGTCCTCAGCTGGAAACTGTTTTTAGGATGACCTTGAAGAGGTATAAATAGACCTTGACCAGTATGAGCCCTGGTGCACAGCCACATGCAGTTTAGCACCGCTGCATTCCATTACGTGTTTTAGAATATTTGATTTACTGAAGGTATGAGACATGAGTTTAATTAGTTTTAACTGTCAATTATTAGGGATGTAAATATCTGGACCACACCCTGGGCAAGAATGGTGAATGGAACAGGTAATTATTATTTATATATTGTATGAATTTGAGAATACAAAATGTTCATGTCAACTTGTTGGTGTGTGTCGTAGTCTGTTACTCGGTCATTAAAGAAAAGAAATTGAAGCTTTTGAACTGAAATGCTACAGACAAAATTCTTAGAATACCATAGATCAAGAAAAAAGAAAAGCACCAACATCCTGCCCAATCTGAGCACTTATGAGAACTGGCTCATAAACAGCATTCTGTCTGAAATTTGGGGTATTTTAGTCATGTAAAACGTTGTGGGGAAATGGAGAGGACGGCAGTGGAGGGTACAGTTTCCAGAAAATGAAGCAGAGGCAGACCTCCATGTAAGTAGATAGAAGACATTGAAGATGCATAGGCTATGAAAGCACATAGATCTAGAGAACTGGCTAGAGAAAGAGAGACTTTCAGACATGCCATGGGGAGAGAGATGTTCTTTAAAAGACATGCTAAATACAACATCACAACATCTAGCATGAGAATGGAGATGGAGACGGTAACTGCAGCTTTCCAGTGGCTAGAGAACAAGATGCATACACATTCCATAACTGTAACAGACTCTGAAGGCCTGCTGAGAAAGGTGAAGACAGGGATGCTTCGAGCAGAGTGGCTAGCTTCACTGGGAAGGTCACGGGTAGTGAGCATACTTTGAATCTTTTCTCCAGGCCTATGCTGGTGTAGTGGGTAATGAACAGACAGACAGATTGGCTGGATCTGCACTACTGGGTGGTGCATTGATACATGACAAGGCAGATGTGGTCAAGGCCCTTTGGGAACAAGCAACGGAATCAGTAGAGAAACAAGATTATTTTGGCCTGGAGAGAATGAGGCACCTGGGTGTAACCAGAGGGTTTGGCCGGCTAACTACACTCAGAGGAAAGGCAAGTTTTTGAACTCTGCACTGGCTGCTGAAGATGAGGATGGAGCATGCACGGGACAGCATCGAGTGCTGTGATGTCACTTCTTAACTCAACTCAAAGAACTGCTGATTGATGATGAAAGAATTTGATAAAAACGGTTGGCTGCACCGGATCCCTAATGTCTTTAGGAATTTTAACTAGTAAATCTCCAGTCTTTTTCACATCATGTATCTGGCACCACTGCACAAAAACAATAACAACGCTGTTAAAAAAAAAACAATATTTAAAAAAAGGAAAGAAAAGATTAAAAAAAAAAAGGTCTGCCGTGTAAACAAACTCTAGTATTTCAGGATTGAGGGGGGGGGGAGGGGGGGGACTGAAACCCATTCATTAACCTCTAAGCCACAGAGCCCTGTGGCATATATCTCTTCCAGTCCTCTTCTCTTGATTCTTTGACTTCATCTGTCCCAAGGAGTTGAGCTGAAGAAGTTCAGCATGGGTCAGAATTACTTCAGCCAAATATTCAAATACAAAAGGTTAATTTCAGTGACTGTCTTCAATAGAAGACATCAACATTACATTACTTAAGACTGACCACATATGATGTGACTTTTGGTACTGAATTAGTAAATATAACTGGTATTTCAGTTTTTTAAAAACCAACTATTTTAATCTTATGATAGGGAATATTACACATAGTTTAAGTCTCAAAACAAAAAGGTCCAGTTCTTCATGATTACTACTTTTTATTTCTCTGTCTTTCATTTCCTAACAGAGCACAGACTCTCACATTAATAATTTGTGAATATATTCATAATTAGTTCTGTGATCGCAAAGGCAGCAATCCTGATAAGAAAAAGAAACGCTTTATATCTTTGTTAGTTATCACAGTAAATAAATTTAAGGTGACAGGCGCGACTTCATTCTCAAAGATTATCCCATATATCTTAGTCTCTCTCTGCAGAACAGGTAGCTACCTGCTGAGAGCATTGCAGAAAGAACGAACTCCGTAACTCCAGCAATGATTCCCAAGAATCTTGGTAAAAAATGCACGCATGAACAGAAATGTCTATATGAGCCCATGACTATAAGAGCACAAGGCAGATGCTTTCATCACTTCGCCATAGAACAGCTATCTCAAACATAATTCAATATTATTCAAATTTAAAATTATTGAAATTAAAAGTAAAATATTTCTTATTATATTCTATGCTTGATGATATTTCAGACGGATCATTAGGACCACCTTTTGCATTTGACAAAAAGATAAATTATGCTTTTGTATCTGACCTTTGCAGGTAAGTTTATCATCACATTTGTATTTCATTAGTTATGTTTTTTCCCGTCATAACATCCGCATCATATTTATGTTAGCCCGGGCTGTTTTGTTTCCCATTGTTAATTCGGAGGAATAAAGTCAATCTACCTAAGATGTCTACATATACAAACTGCCATTTTTTCCCCAAGTATAAAACACACTTATTTTCCTAAATATAGGGTCTAAAAACAGTATGTGTTTTATAGAGGTGGTTGGTTTTTACAAAATGATTTATTCAAAAATATCTCATACAGGGCAGGCCTCATTTGGGAATAAAAAAATAGAGAAATAAAAGTCATTTCCAGCTGTAATCATTTTTCACTTGTCTTTCTATATCATAGTCGTCCTCATGTGGGATGCAATTTTTCGTTATTTGAAGCCCCACCCTGGCTTTTCCGGGGACCCTGATTATAGCTGGGCCATAAATATGGCCTAATGGCTGAAAGGGGTTTCTGGGACCTTTCCACGGGTGATCCTCATCCGCATGGTTTATTGCTTGTGTGATGTCCTGGTGGGGTACAACAAGAGAGAGAGAGAGACTTGTCTTTCTGCTCATTGTTCCGCACTTTGTACTTTAGGAATTCCTGTGTCCACTAAGATTCAACCACCACAATGTACTTATTACAGTAGTGCTGAAAAAATATGCTTTTAAAAAAAAAAGGTTCCGATACACACCACAAATTTCAGTCATAGTAGTGCTGGAATAAAAAAGAATGCCCTGTACAAAATTTAAAAAAGATGCTTGTAGGCACAACAAAGTGTCTGTTTCAGAATTGCTGACAATGCACATGTATGAATGAAATTATGTATGAAAGGAGGGAGATTAAAAGGGCGGAATGTAAGTCAGCGTTTATTCTCTTTCTCTCTCTAAACCCCCCCTTCTTGTTTGTTTGCACATGTTTTATTTGTTCGATAAAATAAAATTTTAAAAAAAAATGTGGTAGTGACAGTAGTGGTGGCAATGTTGTTGGTGCTGGTGATAATGATGAATTTCACAGAGCACCCTATACTTACTTCCAGGTCTATTAAAGGTGTATATACTGGTGATACCTCAGTCAAGAATATACCATTGAGGCGGTTTGGAGGCGACCCTAATGACATGCTGAATGCCTCTGCTAACCCAGACAACATCGGTTTCTGTGTGCCGCCGACAAAATGTCTTCCTTCTGGGCTGCTCAATGGAACACTATGTCAGAAGCCTGGTATGTTTGAAAATAAAAACTGTTTTCTTTTTTCCTTAAGATGCTTTATAGAGGAAATGTAATTTCTTTGTGAAAGATGAGCACTTGAAGGGCCATATATAAGGCAGGATTGCATGCCTAGTTTATCACACGTTTGTGTGCGTTATTAATGGATATTCTCAGAGATTGCTATCTCCACTATCCATCATTACTCTGTTATCTTCGCTATCCTTTGTTACTCTGTTATCTTTGCTATCCATTGTTACTCTGTTATCTTTGCTATCGATTTTTACTCTGTTATGTTCGCCATCCATTGTTACTCAGCTATCTCCGCTATCCGTTGTTACTCTGTTATCTCCACCATCGATTGTTTCTTTGTTATCTCCGCCATCTATTTCTACTCTTTTATCTCTGTTATCCACTCTTACTGTTATCTCCGCTATCCATTGTTACTCTGTTATCTCCACTATCCATTGTTACTCTGTTATCTCTGCTATCCATTTTTTTGGGGGTGGGTATTTTTTAAGTACACATGATGCTCAATGGGTTATGTTGTAAGCAGCATGCTGCTGTTGATAATGTCATTGGTGGCTGTTTCTTTTATGTTGTTTGACATTTTGATTTATGTGGATGTTTTTTTTCCCATGCTTATTTTAGCAAGTTACATTTTTTTAAGTTAGGTGGGAAGGGGGGGGGGGTGTTTTGCCCTATATTTAAGGGGAGAAGGAAGGGGGGACATCGCCTGAAACTGGCTGAAAAGCACTGGATTACATCATTATGTGATTCTTCATTGTTTTATTTGTTTGTTATTTCTCTACTTTTGTTGTTAATTTGTATCATTTTTTCCCACCACCAAATATTTTATTCTTTCATTCCAGTTAATGGCTTTAAGGTCCCTCTCATTTTCTCGTTCCCACATTTCCTGAACTCTGACCCGCAAGTGATTAGCAGTGTATACGGCATGCAGCCAAGCCAAGTGGAACACGAGACAATCCTTGATATTGAACCAGTGAGTAGTTGGAAATGTCAGACCAGAATTTAATTACAGTTTATGCTTGAAGGGGAGCCACCATAGGGTAGCGGCTAGACACTCGCCTACGGATCTGAAGATCGTGGGTTTAGGTCTTGACAAAGAATTTTTTTTTTTTTCAAAAATTACATTGGCTCCCATGTCGACCCAGTCTTTATTAGGTACTAGGTAAAGTACTGGGAAGTAAAGACGGCTAGCATTATGTTGACCACATCACCCACCGAGGGCTGTTTGGTCTATAAAATGTACGTCTAGCCCTATTTGCCCAATATGCCTGAAGGCACGGATAAGGGTCTGTTACACTACTTGTACTTCAAAGGACTGCAGGTGACAGGGTCCAATATTATGGGGGGTGGGGAGGGGGGTATGATTAGGGTTAGTGTCAGTCGGTGTTCATTTCATACTCAAACACCCCTATACTATTGAACTTTCCTGGGAATTCCCCACAGAATCCTGGAGTCCCAGAGATGGGGGTGAACATGAAGAAAAGACTTAAATCTTTCTCTGGCAAGATCATTGCATCATTTGGCAAGTCCTTGCATCATTTAGCAGATAATGGCAATAATAATAATTGAAATCATTAGCAATATCTTAGTTACAGAATGCTATGTCAGCTCTAGTTCCAACAACAATCCTTAGGGATTTATGGGGGAAACAATTGCACTTATAGACCAGACTGTCTTCTTCTTCTTCTTGAATAGTCTCACTGATACCAGATTGTAACCCAGAGTCCTGTTTTCTGTATTTGTCTTGAGCTTCTCTGTGGCTTGAATGATTGATGTGTTCATCTTTTTGCAGGTTTTAGCTACATCCATTTCTTGGTCTTCCACTCACTATCCTCCCAGATGTTCTGCTGTAAAAAAAAAAATAACATATGAAGTTTATCTGGCTGTGTTCTCACTAGACTGTTGAACCATTTCATTCTTGGTCTGTCAGACACACACTTATTCCAACTTTCTTTCTAATGCTGGTATTCATAATCTGCTCCTTTCTTTTATTGAACTGCACAGAGTGAAAATAACCTCAGCTCTTCAGTGTGAGTTTAATTAAGTTTCTTATGACCTCATTCTGGAGATCCCTCTTCACTGGCATCTTTTCATCTTTTCAGACCGTGGTGTTCCACTGTGTTAAAGGAAGGCATGTGAATTACAGCCAGTAATGATGGGTAATTAAGGCCTGGAATAATAAAGTTCCTCCTGTCCATAGAGCAGTGTCTGGGCAGTGTTTTAGAGACTATGTGTTACCCTTACAGCGTGATCCTTCCTTCTGCCTGCATTATTGAGACTTTCAGTACCACTCGACTCATTATACCTTCATTGATTATTTTGTACATGACCAGATGGCAAGGGTGTTACAACGTTAGGCCCTCAAGCAGGAGACTCAGGCTCGACCCCCAGTAAGGTGATACATTTTTTTTGTCTGTGGCAAAATTAAATATCCAAACCTGTACAGCCCATGGTGACAGCACCAGCCATGCGGCCACAAATCCTCAGGTTCATGACCCTCTGTACACCGCCCTTAAAAAAGTGGTACATGTGGATAGATAGCAGTGACCGTTTTAGATTATTCTGTACATAGAATATATGTCCTAACTTTTTATATTCACTTCTTCTAGCAGTGACCGTTTTAGATTATTCTGTACATAGAATATATGTTCTAACTTTTTATATTCACTTCTTCTTTTACCTTAATCTACATTATTCCAATTGTTACTTTAACTTGTTTTGTCCCGTACTGGTATTATTTAAAGTCAACAAGTCTTGTATATGGCTACAATAAAGTAAAACACACTTTAGGATTAGAGATGTGGAAAAAAAACAACCCCCAAAAAACCCTGCAGGGACTAAAAGAATCAACTCCAAAAGAAATTTAACAGCTTCCACATAATCATTATCTTAGTAAGAATTACAAGGCAACAGCCTTCCATCAACAAATGCCACTGTTATTTCTACAACTGTTGTCTTTACCACAGTTATTTCTACAATTGTTGTCTTTGCTCTCACCAATTCCTCTCATTTATTTCAGTGGACTGGTCTGGTGTTGCAGGTAGCCAAGCGGTTACAAGTCAACATGTTTGTAGCAAAAGTTAATGGATTTATGTATGTATGATGTTTTCTACACTTTTTAAATTTTTTTTTTTTTAGCAAAGAGTATTGTAATGATTCAAATTTAATCTTGTTTGTTCTTTCTAATTGCCCCCCCCCCCCTTTTTCTCTTTTTGTTCATGATTCTTCTTCTTCGTCTCCTTCTCCTTTTTCTTCTTCTTCCTGCTCCTGCTTCTCATCTGTCTCCTTCTCTGCCTCCTCCTCCTCTGCCTCCTCATCCTCATCCTCTTCATTTGTTTTTCAAATCTTTGTATTAGAGAGTGAGGCTACTTTAACCCTTTTTATCTCAAAGAGTTTAACTTTAAAGTTACAGATGTTAGCTTTTGAGATAATCACAGTAATAAAACTGGAAGGGAAGGGGTTAAATTACCAGTTGGAACCAGAGTGGATTCATGTAACCATTGTCTGAAATCGAGTGTGACTCAGAGGTGACAATGTCCAGGCATGGCTCATGCTATCTTGTTTTCTCACGGTCTGAAAAACATCAGAAGAAAAACACTCTTTGTGCAGCTGGAAATGTGATAAAGTTCATCTTGATAATCGGAAAATTGTAAGGAAAGGGATGCAGGGGGAGATCAAGAGCGCAGATTCTTGGCATCATATATACTGTTCAAAAAGAAACATAGTTATTATATGCCTCTTTCCTGTTTAAAAAATAACAACAAATTACCCGGATAGGAATCAAATGGCATGGCTTTAAAAAAAAAAAATTGTTGGCGGGAAAGTCAAAAACTATCCATGACACGAATGCAAAAGAACTGTCAATTGTTGGTTGAATGAACCCTACGGTATTCTTGTATACAATTTGAACAGTTTCTCTTATTAAATTACAAATATTTTGAATGTAAAAATTAGGACGAAATTAGGTTCCTTACAGTAACTGCCTTTTTAAAGATGTCAAGTGCCATCAGAAATGTATTCATTTATTGTTTTTCCTTTTTTAAGTATATAATGGAAATATTTGGCAGTTATCGAGACAGAAGGCTGTGGATGGATATGAAGACAGTTGCTAGATGGCGTGCACTATAAGAAAAAAATAGTATCATTTCAGAAGATTAAAAACAAATAATGAAGTATTAAAAACTGGGCCTGAAAAAGGACTGTTGAATCAGGTCAAGGTCAGACTACCGTCTGCATTTATGGAACCTGCCTTGATTTGTGGGAGTATCTGTGTTCTGTACCTGCTTTTCCTTGACGGCTGATCATCGTGGATGCATGCAGCTGTTGTGGATTAACAATCTACTGGGTGGGGGACCTCTTAATTAGAGGGGCAAAGATTATAGCACAACCGTGAGACTGAGCAGTGTCTTAATTCAGTTAACTTGGCAGGCCAACCCCCAACAAATGCCTGAAGAAGTAGAATGTGCCAGCCGAAGGGCGCAAATTATGCAGCTAGGCTGTAAACAGACAGGACGCAGTTACAAACAATGCAAAAATCAGATAATCGAATAAGAAAAATAAGATCAAGGTCAAAAAGTTACAGTAGTTCAGGTAAATAAAGCAAAAAAGTTTTTGTTTTTTTGTTTTTTGTTTGATAAAAATATGCACTGAAAGAAACAGTGATTGGAAAACCTGCAAGAGGAAGATGTTACCTATGGGCGGACACTTCTTCTTTTTCTTCTTTTTTTTCTTCTTCTTCTCCTTCTCCTTCTTTTTTTCAAAATGTCAGGTGGAGATGAAAGGATTTTCTGTTTTTAATACGTTTTATAAATCCAGTCAAGACGGTGAAGCAAACTCACCCAAGAAGGATATCTGTTAAGGTTATGTATATGTGTGTACGAATGAACGAAAGAACAGACTTCATTTTTAGAGGGTTAAGAATTGGGCACACAGGCCCATCTTACATTCTGGCCTCACTCTCTGCATACATTATTTCATTTACACATTGTTTTAGCAGATAATGGTAATTAATAATAATAATAGACATTATCAGCAATATCTTAGTTACAGTGTGCTCTAAGTATACCTACATTTTAAAGAAATTATAGTACTAATTATAAAAAAATCTTGGTGGAAATCAACTATATGCTTACAAAATAATTTTTTTCTACGGGGTCATGTAGTCTGTTAGTTAGTTAGTTAGTCTTTCCTCTTGTGTCGAGTGCGGCACATAGGGCAGAGGTCAAGACTCTCCATGCATGGCGGTTTGTTGCAATCTGTTGTAGGTCTTGGAAGTTTGAGTGGCCTATGAGCGAGCCTTCCCTGATGATAGTTCTACGTAGAGTTTCCCTTGGTCTTCCACGAGATCTTTTCCCCTGTGGTGTCCAAATGAGGGCTTGGTAAGGAAGTCTTGATTTATCCATTCTAAGGGCGTGGCCGACATAGTTCCAGCGGCGTTTTCGTATAAAATTAGACACATACTCTTGCCTGGATTCTTGCCTTATTTGTGTATTGGTTCGGAAATCTGACCATTTGAAATTTAGTATTCTTCTAAGGCATTTATTTTCAAAATTGTCTAATTTTGTGTCTAGTCTGTAATTAGATAAAATTCAAAAAGCTTCCAATTATATTGATAGAGGTGAGACAGACAGACAGATGGATGGACTGATGGATCGATGGACGGATGGGTGTGTTTTGGTGAGTGGGTGGTGGGAGGGATGGGTAGGTAGATAGAAATAGAAAATGACATAGTTTACTGTGTTAAACATGTATGTCATTGCATCTGTATGACTTTCTGTTTGTGGGTGTCTTTATGTGTCAGTGTAATCCTTCATGTCAATAAGTATGTGTACACGTATCACTTGTGTATGCATGTTTATATGTATGACCCTGTATGTCTGATAACAGTGAACTTTTGACGTATTTGCATACTGTTTATGTCACTGAGAAATGCATTCATGCGTAAAATAAAAGTAGCGACCAGCCTAGACAAATACATTAAACTGGTTGTTACAGGAATTGCTTTTGTATAGAGATTTATTTTTCATTGACAGCTATTGGTGGGAGGTGTGTGGAAACAGTCTGAATAATGGCTGTTGTGAGCCATATCCTTGTGCAGTCAAGCATTGTTATCTTGTCCTTTGTCTGAGGCTGGTCTGTGTGCTTGTTTGTGGCTTGGTTGACGTAAGACCATATCACAACATAAAATCTTACGTCTCATACACCACAAAAGAGGTGCAGCAATATGATTTTTGTTTAATAGGTTAACTCTTCCAGTTCCATTCTGTTGTTTCTTGAAACCTTTCTGTGGGCTTCAAAGTAAAAATTGCTAATGTTTAACCCTTTAGACCCTTTTTAAAAATGGATCATGAACCCATTCAAATTACCCGAAACATTTTTTTTATAGAAAACTGCTGTTTTACACAGGTAACTAATAAAATGTTTTAAAATGTATTTATCTACATTTGTTAAATTTTTTTTGGCTTCCAAATATGTAAAGTACACCAGAAAAGAATGAAGCAATAAATGAAATATGAAAAATGAATAAATGAAATGAATTCTGCTGGATTTAAAACAAATATGTTTCAGGTAACTCATTCCATGACCCCATCACCTCTATCACTGAGGCTTAAGGGAAAAATTGTATGTCAACCCAGCATTAAAAAGCTATTAGATTTACAAGGAAACTCATCTAAATGTTATATTTAGTAAATATATTCACATCTGGGCTTCATATCCACTACACAGATGCACATAGAACCAATGGTATTTAACTATGCTTTACTCTGATTCAAGAGCTCAGGGAGAGAGGGATGGAAATTAGTGTGAGAAGAGAGGAGAAAAAACATCAGATCATAAAAGGACAGTATGCACTGGAGCAGGTCAAACAATTCAGATACATTTGAGTTTTAATAGTCCAGAATTGAGGCATCGAGTCGGAGTTGAATGCTGAAAAAGCAGCAGCTGGGAGACTTTTCCAGGCCATGAACCGAGGGTTTGTCAACAAAAGCAAGAGGCTGGATACTGATCTACCAATGTGCCAGTCCTCACCTAAGGGTGTGAGTCATGAGCAATGACAAAAGCTAATGGAAGCCAGCTTCAGGCCTCAGAAATTAGGTATCTGAGAAAGGTGGTCCAAGTGACAAGAAGGGACACAGTTCCCCATCAGGCAATACATCATGACCTTAAAACCCAGACTACAAACTTGAGTGGATCGGTCACAGTTACAGTGGTTTTGATGTGTATGCAGAATCAAGAAAATAGACAGGCATGGTAGGCCAAGTACAAGGAAAGCAGACCACCAGGACAACCCAGGGTTCACTGGGAAGACAACATCTGACAGTCCCTGATTCACAGAGGACTCAAAAGGAGCAAAGCCAAAACAAAAAACTGCTGATAAAGAAGTCTGACAATCTATCTGGCAAACCACTACACCCCAAGGTAGAAGAGTAGTGACTAAGTAAGTTTTTGAGAACAGCACCACAGTAATTATGATATATTGGCATTTACCGGACACTGTCACAATTGGAAGTGACTAGGTTTTGAATTTTCGGGGTAAGAGGGTTCAAGAATTTCATTGGAGACACTGTAGGACAGAGGTAAACTAATAATTTAACTACATCTTCATCATCGAGTGCTTTGCCGACTGGCATGGGCGATCATGCCTCTCCACAACTGTCCAGCTCCAGCGTCATATATCAGTTGATATGCTGACACCCTCAATGCCACGACAAAAGGTTGTCAAGAATCTTCTCTCGTTGTTTTCCTCAGTCTCTCTTTCCATAAAGCTTTCCAATGGTCACACAATTTTTAGGTTTCTCTCTTCTCAGAGTGACCAAAAAATTATGGTCATCTTCTTCTGATGTTTGGGATAAGTCGTTTTAGAGTCCTCACCACTTAAAAAATCTGGATTACTCATTTTTACAATCCTCAGAATTTTAAGCATTCCTCTGTAAAATCCACATCTCTTCCAGTAATTGTTTGATTTGTTTAATTAATAGTCTAGTTTTTGCAGCCATTCTAAAACTGTGGTAAAAGACAGCAAGAACACTATGTTAACTTTGGAAACACCCAGAAATGTGAGACGTGTTCTTTGGTAGTGAAAGAGTTAACGAACCATGATCAACTTTCTTGCTTGCCATAACAGTAGTCTAGGTTTAAGTCCCTGGCAGTTTTAATATGCGTTTTGCGGCCTGTATGATTCAGAGGTTGGCCCAGCCTTGTAAAATAAATCCCAGATTAAACAGCCTAAATGTTAGTAGTAATTTAAACAAAAATATAATGTTCAACCCATTTGTGTTAGAATTGGAATGTAGTGTTTGTTTTTCTATTTTAATACAGTACTGTTACTATGGCTGAATGTACCACTTGTTTGGGATAGTGTATACAAGGGAGGGGGGGGGGGTCATGAGCCTGAAGATTTAGGACAGCACAGCTAGTGCTATGGCCACAGACTGTGCAATTAAGGATGTTTAATTTTGCCTCCGACAAAAAAACTACAAATTCCATTACCTTACGGGGGTCAACCCGGGTCTCCCACAGGACAGCCTATCTGTTTAAATAATGGATATTTATGCCTATAAATTTTGTTTTGTAGTTTTTGTATCACTTGTATAAGATTATAGGAGTATATATTGTCAAAGTCTATATTTTAAGGATACTTTCAAACAGCTATAGTTATTATATTGTATAGTCTTTCTTTGCAGATATTTAAAGTCAACTGGGCTACCATTGTTCTGTCTTAAGATATATTAACATCTCATATGCTAACTCCTATTCCTGTGATGCACTGTTTAATCCTTCCCTGTAGTTCTGTAGAGCCATCTACTGCAAGCATGTTTTCTGTTATCATAGGCTTATTGCAGCGGATCAGTTATTAATTAAAGGAAGTCCTTTGGAGTTCATATTTCTTGTAGGATAGTCGAAACAGCCCTAGATGTCAAACACTGCAGAAGCTGAATGTGCAGTTCATACCAGCAACAAGTGTTGATTTAGGCTGATTCCAAGTCACTGAAAAGAAGTACTTGACAATTTTTTTTAGGAAACTGGCTTGCTAGAATAGCAGCCAGAAACAGCACTGGCTACACCGTATACCATATTTTCTTGTGTTTAAGATGCTCCCATTTATAAGACACCCCTGTGTATTAGATGACCAGGTTTTTTTTTTTTAGTCCAGAAAAAAAAGAAATTAATATTTTTAAACAAATTATGTATGTAAGACAAGGGCAATTTCTTTTTAGTCAGAACTTCAAAATTAATTATTTTAAACAAAATATATAAATAAGATAACTCCATTTTTTTTTAACTTAAAAAAAAATTTTTTTTTTTGGGTAGCCCGAAATAAGGAAGATAATATTTTAAATGCATTCCATGTATATGAGGATCTCCAAGTTTAAACAGAAAATATTTGTTTTTTAAACATATACATGGAAAAATACTTCCGTCTGAGATGTTCTGTCTTCGTCCTCCTCTGTCGCTTCCAACTTTCCCACCATCATGATGGACTCCAGTTTTCTTCTTCTGATGACATGACCAAAAAAAGTAGATTGTCTCTTTCTGATGTGGACAGTCAGTTCTCTTCATGAGTAGTTTCTTTCAAGGTGTCATTATAACTTTTGTTATCTGTCCGGGCGGCTCTTATTTTTTCATCTGGTAATTACACATTACATATTTTGTAATATTATTTCTAATGAGATTTTGTTTTACAGACAGACTGCCAACATAAGGCCAGTGTTCTTTCCAATTTTCTGGTTAAATGAGGTAAGTTGATGCCAGTTTAGCCAGCAGAATATTGCAGTTGAACTTGCTTGATGTTATTCTGCTGCCAAAAGTTATTTAAATCAAAGCACATATTAAAAGCAATGAAGTAAATAATTTGGTGAAAACACATTATCAGATAAAACGACTGCATCTTTCTGTGTTGCACTTGTACACTCTTTGCCAAAGGCAATCACTGCTGTTGACTTTATTCAACAAAGATAATCCCTTCTTTGATAATAATGTTTAATTTTTGTTATTGAAGAATATTATAAATCAGTTATATAAAAAAACATTAGAGAGGGTGACAAATATTTTATTATAATTTTTGTTATTAAAGAATACTACAAATCAGGCGTATAAAAACATCATAACAGGGCTGAGATAGTGACAGTGTTTTCCGAGTATATTTATGTTTTTCTTATTGAAGCATATTAACAATCATCCAAATCAAAATCATTTTATCTGAGGAGCACCTGGAGAATGACAAATGTATTTACCTATTGTATTATAAATATATCCCATGTGTTTCTGAGGCAGATAAGATGCAACCCACAGGTTTGTGTACAGACTACAGGAAAACAATTAAAGTTACATGTGCGACATGATTCCCAATAGCTATGACCCTGAAAATGTGTAGGTACTGTGGTACAGTACTTGGTATGAAAGGCCCTCGAGACAAAATACCCAGTACATGTGCTTGAATGCCACGAATGTCTGAAAATGACCGTCAATGAGCCATTGGTAAACTGGAGACGAGTGAGCTCGCTGGCCATTGCCAAAATGGTAGCAAATATTAGTAACAATACGTACTATGCATGTCATGAAAGACAACTAAGAGTTTGTGTGAGACTGGCTGCCTCAGCCTGTAGAAAGCTTTAGCTACAAGATTTAACCACTGTGATCTGCTATGTGTTGGTAGACAGATGTACAAATTGGCTAACTGTTCATCCATTAAAGTTTTAAACTTCGATCCTAAAAATTCAGGAGCTGTGGTAATGTAGTGGCTTGCACACTTGCTTACCAACCCGATGGTCATTCTGCTACTAAATTAGTAATCTGCCATTGTAAGCAGATAAAGAATAGTGCCTAAATGTACAATAATAGTCATTATTTTAGGACAAGTACAGAAATGTAAGTATCTTGTCACATGGATAAAATCCGATGGAAAATGTATCACAGAGATAAAGAACAGAATAGGACAGGCCAAAACTGCATTTAACAAAATGAAGAACATTTTATGCAATAAATCCATGTCCGTGGAGGTTAGGAAAACAATTCTCACACGCTATATAGAGCCAGTTTTAATATATGGCTCTGAGGCATGGACAATTAATAAACAAGCTGAACATTATCTTGAGACTGCTGAGATGTGGTTTTGCAGAAGAATCCTTAGAATTCCTTGGACACATAAGAAGAGCAACCCATATGTTTTGAAAAAAAAAAGTGAATCTCGAAAACAACTTATCACAAGCATCAGAAAGAGATAGTCATCATTTTTTGGAAAATGGAACATGTTTGACCACTGGAAAGATCTGTGGAAAAAGAGACAGAGGAAGACAGTGTGAGAAGATTCTTGGCAGCCTTTTGGGACACAAACTAAAACACACAGTTGCAGATCGCAGATTGTGGAGGGGCATGATGGCCCATGCCAGTTGGCAAGGCACTTGATGATATAAGCAGATCTGCCTGTGGTCTTTTTGATTGATCAGTTGGTTTAGTCCTTCTGGGTTGTTACCTAAAGGTTTACTGTACCATCCTAAGATTAAAGAATTTCAGTCTGGGTGACAGATTAACAAGGCAGATCCTAGAAACCCTCTAAAGAAGTCAGTAAATAAGTTTTATCCCACTAGGACATCGCACAGATCTTCGGCTTAGGTGTTGTAATCCCGCCTTGTAATGCCAGGGTCCTGGGTTTGATCCCAGCTGCTGACATATTGTCTTGCATTGGTTTTGACAGTGGTACCGAGAGCTGACCGCTTAGAAAGCAATGGCAAACTACTGAACATAAAATCTGCCTTGAAAAACCACAACAGCCAAAAAATGGTAGCGCTGGTTCTGCAACTTCCTGTAAAGGATACGCAACTAATTTGATTTATTCTCACTCTCCAATCTCCACTGTCTACATCTACCATCGATTCTCTTGGTCTGCCTCTGCCTCTTCTACCAGTATTCTTTCCAGTGGTGACGATATTTTCCAGTGCTCCTTTTCTCATCACAGACCAAAGAACTTTGTCTCCTTTTCATTGTTTTATATATAGTGTTCCAGTTTCATTTGCCATTTCCAAGCAATCATTGTTAGTTATTCTGGCAGTTCAAGGTATTCTTCTCAAGAACCACATCTCAGTTGCCTCCAAACTCTTCTTAATTTGTTTGCCCACGTTCCAAGGCTCACCACCATACAACATCAGAATCGGCTTGATGTAACATTGCAGCACTCGTTTTCTGATGTTTAATGAGAGTGATTTATTACGCAAGATACTTTTCATCTTCTGCATGCTGCCTTTGTCTGGTCGGTTCTGCTGTTAATTTCTGTCACACCTCGTCCCTCTGATGTAACCAATTTCCTTAAATACTTGAATTTATTGACCTGATTAAGCCATTGAAGAGGTAATACACCTTTTATATTTAAATTTTTGTTATTTTTGTGTGTTTATCTTTTGAAGAGCTCAGTGACAGATGACAAGCGTGCTGACATGCTCAAGTCTCAACTGTTTACACCGTTGCTGCTGGTGAAGATTGTAGAGTTTGGTCTGCTCGGTACTGGCGGACTCATGGTGCTTGTTGGAGCTGTTCTTCTGTTTAGAAGATATTTAAAAAGAAAGGTAGGTTTTTAGATCACATATGCCCAAGTTGAGCAAGATTAAAATGTTATCCTCTAAATCAAACCAAGACTGAACGTCTGTGAGCATCTGTTTTGTGGAAAAGCAGAACTTTTATGTTTTTTCTGGTCGTTATGTTAAATTTTGCTGTATGGAGGCAAAGAAATCTCAGACCGTGGCAGCTACCAGCATTTCCAAGACCTATTAAGGCCAGAGAACTAAACAAGTTCCACTGGACCAAGAGGTGAAGAAAAGACACTGGAAAGGACATATGGATAGGACACACGGTGAAAAAACCTGACCAAAAAAAAACCCAATATAACTAGAATGTCTTTGCACCAGAACCCACAGGGGCATAGAAGTAAAAAAAGACTAGGGAGGAAAGTTAAAAAGTTGGAGAGGACATGGGGAGAGCTTCATGAAGGATGGAACAACTTGGCGTGAGTTGGTTGAAAGCCTATGCTCCATTAAGGGGTTAGAAATGCAGAAGAAGAAGAATTAAAGCCAGGAATCAAGTTCCTCATCTCCACAGTAAAAAATCCTGGGCATTTTTGTAAAGATCATTGTGTTACTACCCATGCAGCTTGACCTGTATCTGTGTAAGTAAATAAGTATAGGGCGCTTTTTATGCCAGTGACATGGCATGCATTCAATGCTAAACTAATTCCGGGACACGCAGGCGTCAATGGAAATGAAAGAGCTGACAGGTTGGCTGGATCCCCTATCACTACCGACGGTCAGCCTATGGATCATGCTGATATTATCAATGCCCTCAGAGAAATGGGAAGAATAGAGGACTTTGGTGGCAGTGAATCCACATCACTCGCCAGAATGGCAGACTTGGGAATTAAGATCGGCACAGCAAAAAACAAGACGCACACCAGCTATGCCAGAAGACTTGTTAATCAACATAGAACTGATACTATTAGCCATCGGACGTTGGGGTTCATACTGAGGGGAGGATCTGAGCACCTATGGACATGTCCGGAGTGCAATGAGGATAACCCAACTAACTAACTAACTAACTAACTAACTAACTAGCTAAACTAATTGGTTTTTATAGACAAACTGAAATTCATTGGGTGATGAAGTCAACATTACACTGCTGCCTTTACTTTCCAAGACATTTTCTGGTATCTTTTATTAGGCTGGTTGTGAGTAAGAGATGTTTATCTCTACTACGACTGCACAGTGAGCGATTAACACCCAGTGACATGAAGTGCCACTATTCAGATGACAATTCCTCCTTACACAAGTCCCAGAAACCTCGTTTAACCAGAAGGTTATAGTAGGGACCCCCCAACAACAGTTACAAACTCATCTAAGTCTAAGCGAGATGGAGCTATAATTAAAAAAAAAAATTATAAAGAAATTGTGTCCCATTTTGAGACAGATTTTTTTTTTTTTGGTAGGTTGGTCTATGAGTATACCTATTTGCTATAATGTTGTTTCTTGAATTATTTATTAACATAAATTGGAATGTTTAATTCTTCCCATGTGGATTCTGGAAACAGACCCACTGCCTGTCCCAATAAGCATTTCATAACTGCAGCTAATTAAACTAATTAAATCTTTTAGTCCCAAACGGTGCACCATGTACTGGGTATTACTCATGTGCTCCAATCTGAATGATGTGTGTATTGTACATCTTAAGTTTAGACAGGCAAAATAAATAAATCCAGCATCACAAGTAAACTCCCAATGTACCGTGTATTTGGACCCTGTGGATCCAGTATACCTATGCTGTGGTTATCATCATTATTGCTTCAGTCAGGCATCAGCTATGAAATTCTGGGACTTCTTCTTCATCTTCTTCTTCACATTCACCAGCTGTACACTGTGGGGGAAAGTTCTTATTGTCTGTCCACTTCTGAACTGCAGTCCTGCTCCAGAACCTGAATGTTGCGTGTGTGTCAGTTTTACAGATCTGATTCACTTGAATTCAAACTATTGGTTGCTTGCCTGTCAGGCAGATGCACTCCGACTTCAAAGGAAGCTTCCCAGTTAGTCGACTCTTACAACTTGCTTTTGGGTAGGCATTTGGTCTATTCTTGTTTTCTCCACAATAGGGCACCAGAGATAAAGATTTGCTAAAACTGTGTGTGTTGGGCCAAAAGGCTCAGATATTACAGCCTAGCTGTAAAACCACAACACATTGTTCTAACTGCTCTTTTAAGGCCAAACACAGAAGATAAAGAGAGCCACCATGGTCTAGAGGCTAGACGCTCGCCTGCAGATCCGAAGGTCGTGGGTTTCAGGTCCTGACAGGGGCCTGGCTTTTTAAAAAAATGACCTTGGCTTCCAGATCGTCCCAACCTTGAGTGGGTACCCGGTACAGTCCTGGGAAGTAAAGGCGGCTGGCATGATGCTGACCACATCACCCACCAAGTGCCGTTAGGTCTATGAAACATAGGTCTAGCCCTATATACTTAATTCGCCTGAAAGTGTGGGAAAAGGGTCCTTTTTTTTTAAAACAGAAGATAGAGAAGAAGAATGTTTAATTGACTGCAGATTTGTCACTGTGCAGAAGGTTATATATTTGTTTATGTTACAGGACAGGATGAGAGCAATGCTGACTATTGTCAGTGACAGGGATACCACAAATTCTGACACGGATCAGCAGATGCTGGATTGCGGGCAGTTAGTGGAGACACGGATAATGCCAGATCGTGAGAACAGCGGAAGGCTTGTTGTAGATGTAGATAATGCAGGGGCTCAGAATGTGTATCCTTATATGTATAGGGATACAGAAGATTGTACTATGATAGTCTAAGGCAGGGCTATTCAGCTGGCAGCCCCTGGGCTAAATGTGGCCCCCAGATGTCTGGCAAGTGGCCCGCTGATCACCTGCCAATTTGTTACATTAATGATATTCTGTGCTAGTGCTTGGGTTTCTGGCCCGCGGCGATCCCTATTTTCCGACATTTAGGCCCTTGAACAAACTTAGTTGAATGGTTCTGGTCTAATGATTAATAATGGTTGGTGGTTTGTCCAGTCAAGTTGGTCTGTTAGGTGCCCTCTCCACAATGAAGGTTGGCTGCGGTGGATCTCCAGCACTTTGTCCAATGCCCTGGCTGTACACTCTGCGAGGCACCTTTTCATCCATCTTTTAATGTTTTCTTTCTAGTTGTATCGCTGTCTAGCTATTGATTGCCCTGCCTTCAACATTTCCCTCTAGTGTTTTTTTTTTAAAGAATAATGTTTTTTAACCTGCAAGTGAGTTGAAGTACAAATTTCGATGTATCTTTCCTGGGGCAAAATATTGGATGTTTGTTTGGATTCACCAGCTGTTAACCTGGTTCACCCATTTCTGGACTTTGGCATTGTTCAAGGACCTGAGTTTTGCATGTGCATCTGTTTTACAGATCTGGCCTATTTGTATGCAGACAATTAGTTCCCTGCCTCTCGGGCAGATGCACTCCAACTTTAAAGGAAACGTATGTATGTGAGTCACGGACTCTCACTCATCCACTGAAGAAAACTTTTGAACTGAAATACTACCCCAACAATTCTTAGAATACCAAGGACCAAGAATAAGAAAATATTGACATCCTACATGATATGAAAAATATTTTATGCAATAAATCGTTCTCATTTAATGTCGGAAAGAGGGTGCTAAAATGTTATGTAGAACCTTTTCTGCTGTATGGCAGCAAATCTTGGAATGTCAGTGAACAAATTAAGAAGAATTTGGAAGCAACAGAGATGTGGTTTCTGAGATGAATGTTACAAATACCTTGGACGGCCAGAGTAACTAACAACAATTGCTTGAAAGAAGTTAATTAAAGTAGATCTTTATATACAACAATAAAAAAGAGACAAACACTGTTCTTTGGCCACATAATGAGAATAGAGACATTGAAGAACATAGTGACAACTGGAAAGACCAGTGGAAAAAGGGGTAGAGGCAGACCAAGAGAGATGATGCTGGATGGGCTGAAACGATGGCAAGAGAGCTGTTCCAGGCAACCAGGGATCCTGATCTATGAAGACGCATGAGCGCCTACGCCAGTTGCCAGGGTATATGATGATGATGACATGATATGACATTTAGAAGAATTAGCCAATAAACCCATAAACAGCAAACTGTCTTGAACACTGTGGTATTTTGTTAAGCATCATGGTGGCCTGGAGAGAGAAATGCGATGAAGAGTACTGTTTCTGGAAAATGATACAGAGGTAGACCTCAGACTTTTGCAAAGGACAAGACATTGAAGATGCATTGGCTTTGAAAGCACATAGGGCTGGAGAATTGTAATAAGAGAGACTTTTAAGTGCGCCATGATGAGAGCAGCATTTTGTGAAGGACTGGTGATGTTTTTTAATGAAGCTCAGATATTTATTTTAAATTTCCTTTATTAGCCTTCTTGTGGCAGTAGCACTAGCCATGCAGCCGTAAATCTTCAGGCTCAAAGACCTCTCCCCCCCCCCCCCGCCCCCCCCGCAAAAGGGGTATCACAAAGGCAGTATTTAGCAGTTTTATCAGCCCTCTTTCATTTCCAGTTTCTAGAACTTCTGGATTTTGTTGTTTTTGTTTCCTTGTAATACAATATGTTCTTCTAATTATCCACATTTCCCAGGTCTATGGGAATCATGGTGGCTTAGTAACTGGATGCTCTACATGTGGCCTGAAGATATTGGGTTTAGATCCACACTGAGTTTTTTTTTCTCCTCAAAAAATATCCATGGCTTCCAAGTGGCCTGGCTTAAAATGGGTACTAAGTAAAGTCCTGTGAAGTAAAGGTGGCCGCAGTGATGTTGACTACATCACCCATCAGGACGAACTGGTCTTTAAAATATAAGCCTAGCTCTTATGTCGGACGAGCAACTGACATGAAATAGGTGCCTAACTTCACTTCGCAAGGCATCTATTCAGTTTTCTTCTTCCAGTTGGATAACTACAACAAATCTCAGTTTTGTTGTGTTGTTTGTATCTCTAGAGGTTAATACTTTACCATGTTGTTGAACAAATAATTGGACATTCCATTTGTTTTTTATTTCTGTTTTACCTGGGTGTGCCTTAAGAATGGTCAGAGATTGCATGCCTGCTTTAAGAAAGGTCAAAGGTCTGTTTATTTTCCACTGTTACTGCATGATATAAATTTATAAGATACATTTATTTATTTTATAAACTATATGTATAAAATAATTTAACTTTCGTTTTGTTAAAATCAAACATGTATTTATGAATGATATAAATGTATAAGATAAAGCTAAATATATTAAATGATTTTACTGTAGTTTTACAATTTTCAAAGTTGAATTTACTAATGATGTATATTTATGAGTTAAAGTAATATGTTTCTTGTATTGATTAAATATATCAAAATATGTATTCATTTCTGTAGATGTAGTTTCGTGTGTTGGAAAATGAATGTGATGTAATTATATGAAATTGACAATTTACTGTCACATTCAAATGTTCTAAAGTTTAAAACGCTTTTGTTATTCTGTTTTTTTTTTTTTGACATTTTTTTTTAAATGTAGAATATCCACTTATCAATTAAAATAATCATAAAAGATTTACACGGACTAGCATCCCCAGATGAATTTATGTATTTTTCCACATATATCTTGCATTTCGCTTGCCTGCCGATTTGAAGTCTTGAGTTTGAATCTACATCAAGCTGTCTTTTTTTTTGTGTGTATTTTTTGTATTTTTTTTTTTAATGACCTTGTTTGCAGGACCTCCACAGCCTAAAATGTGAGTCTAAGGATGTAATAATGGTCATTGGTTTGTCCGGTCAGTCAGTCAGATGCCCTTTCTCCACAATGTAAGTTGGCAGTGATGAATCTCTAACACTCCATCTCTTGTCCATGTTGTAGACTGACAGGCTGCTTTTCCTCCATATTTTTATGTTATTTTTATAGTTGTGTCGCTTGTCTGTCAACCCAAAGTCCTGAGTTTAAATCTGCATTGAGCTGTATTTTTATTTTTATGACCTTGGTTCCCAGACTGATCCAACCTAGTCTAGCTTCATAAGCCCGATACAGTAATGGCCTGAAAAGGGTCCTTAGCTCCCAGAGGGTTTAGCATCACAGGCCCAAGGGGTAGTCAAAAGAGACTAAAATCGGCGCATCATGCGTTCATCGGGCTTCTAGGCAGTAACCTATGAACGTATGATGCTTTCCTTGGGACTCAAAGAGTTAATGTTTTTTTTTTCCACTAATTTTACCATCTGTGGCTAAGGGGTTATAAACTCAGTTTCATAATTCTCCGATATCAAGCTTGGTTCACTAAACCGATATGGCGGCAGACTGCTTTGTGTTGTCTTTCTGCAGCAGTGCTGTGGGATCAGACTGTTCAGAAAGCAATGGCAAACTACTGAAAGTAAAATTGTCTCATAAAACCACAGACAGCCAACAAAAGGTCATGATTAGTTTGCAATGTCCTGTAAAGGATATGCTGCTAACTCAACCTCACTTTAACTCTTTCGCTCCAAGAAGGTTAAATGTGTTAATTTCCGGTTGTGACACAGCCCTGTAAACGCTGATTTATCATCATTTCTGGTTCTTTTCTTTTATATCACCCCATCTCAGGGACTCTGAGATTTCATGCAGAGTTCCTAGGAAAGTCTAATAGCATAGGTGTGTTAGTGTGGGAAATGAACACTGACTAGCACTAAATCTAACCTCACCCCTTCCCTTTTTTATGATATTGAACTTTCCCATGAACTCCTGACAAAATCTTAGAGTCTCCGAGATGGACTAAAAAAAAAAAAGAATCAGTGTTTTTTAATGACCTCTTCTTGAAAAACATAGTTAAATGCCAATGATTCTACATTCCCTTTCGTTTAGAGGCCTGCACATGAATATATTAATTGAATATAGTATTTAGAGGGGTTTCCTTGGGAATGCAGTAGCCTTTTCAATTTTCTCATAAGCATTAATTGCACATATTTGTTTCGGTAACTGGGATATGCATTATATTTAATGCTTTACTCTGTTCTTGCGTTTTTATTACTCCCTCAATATATCTTTGTATGTTTCAAAACAGATTTACAAAATGTAGATAACTAAAATTGTAAACAAATTATTACTTACCTGTTGTTAAATGTAAAATATTTTTGTAAGTGAGGCATTCGGAAGGTTTTAATGGTTTCATTTTCTTTTTGCCTAGAGCTTGTCTGAGAAAGAAAGAAAGAAAGAAAGAAAGAAAGAAAGAAAGAAAGAAAGAAAGAAAGAAAGAAAGAAAGAAAGAAAGAAAGAAAGAAAGAAAGAAAGAAAGAAAGAAAGAAAGAAAGAAAGAAAGAAAGAAAGAAAGAAAGGAGAAAAAGAAAGAAAGACAAGAAAGAAATGATGAGATTAAATCAAGAATTGACATTACTGCACTCAGGACATTCCCATACATGCTCTGATCCCTTCCTCAGTAGCCAATGAAGAGTTCCCTTACTGACTGTGCCTGATGTAACCTGATTAAAAGTGTGCCTGTTTCTCACCCTGTGGGTAGAAATTCGTCCGGACCCTCTGTTCACTTCCGGCTTAATCATTCTCTCCAGATGTGGGTGCTGTGACGGTTTTGCTGCACTATTTTCATGATCACAGTCAGTGAGACCTCACCACGTCCTCTTTATTGCAAAATACTTTATTTAGGTCTGTTTCTTTGTCTGTCTGTCTGTCTGTCTGTCTGTCTCTCTCTCTCTCTCTCTCTATCTCTCTCTCTCTCTCTCTCTCATTTTCTCTCTCTCAAAATTTACTTTGGCTCCCAGGTCGACCCAGCCTTGAGTGGGTACAGGTGCAGTCTCGGGAAAGTAAAGGCGGCCGGCGTGATGC